CGGGGCTCGATCCCAGGACCCCGGGATCATGACCTGAGCCAAAGGCAGACGCTTAACGACTGAGCCACCCAGGCGCCCCTGGATTTGTTTTATAAAGCTAAGAACCAGCTATAGGTGAGGATCTGAATTGAGTCAGATAGGCTAGCAGTAGAGTTGACACATGTGGGCTATTTAGAAGTCAAAACAATGTGGGGGGGAGTATAGCATTTGAAGATGGAAAGAGAGCAAGCAAGTATGCTTCTGAGATCTCTGACCCAGCCCCATCAGCAGTGATGAGGCTCTTCAGCAGAGGTGGAGATGTGCTGGGGAGGAGCAGATCTGTGGGGAGGAAGGAATATTCCTGCCTCTCATGCTTTATAGTCTTGCTGAGTTTCAGTGTCTGTGAGACAGAGGAGAAGATTCTGGAGACAAGCCTGATAGTCAGGATCAAATTATGAGGGGAAACAGTTTGGCCAGTCATCAAAATTTTGTTGATGGTGGAACCCATGGAAGAGAATGTTCTCAGGGAGAACAGATAAAAGAAGAAGACAGCCAGAGATTTGCAAGGTGTGGTGTTGCCTTGACACAGCAAACTGCTATTACGTGTCAAAATTGCATTAGGGTTCATCTTCACCCTTCTTGTTGATGATCTCTGTTTCAGGTCATTTGAACTATTTCCAGTCAAAAATCAGATCACTATGGACACGTAATTATTTTTTGTAATTTTTAATAATTAAGCAGAGAGAGGAAGAGGCATCTTTCTAATGAGTGTAATTCTGTACTTAAAATATATGTTCATGTCTATGCAATAATGCCTCAAATCTTTAGAGTTTTAGTTAACTCAGTTTAGCAATATTTTTCCAATACATAACTTTAAATGATCTTGAGATTTGTTGTTTGAACCTTTATTATATTGTTTAAACCATGTTATATGATAAGCTCCTCATAGTAAAAATGTAGCAGATATTACTTGCTAAAGATATCAAGACATATATTTTTAAGTCAGATTTTTTAGTTGTTATAACAGCCCATAAACAAGAAAAAAATGAATTCACTATTTCATTATTTACAGAGTACAGTTTGGTTCCATGAAAACTTAGCTATTCTATCAAATACAGTGGCCTTTGTTACGCGAAAGATGCAAAATGGCTATTTCATCACACTATTGCAGAGTGTGAGAGTAGCTCTTTAATATAACACAATAAGGCTTTCTAGCCATACATCATGAATTAGCATCATCCTCATGCTTTCACTGAGATGGTTTTCCCTGGGGTAGCACCCTTCCTCATGTTTCTCATCTTTATCTGACTTCCACTGAAGCCTAAACCACCTGTGAATAACTCATAGAACTGCTGTGGCTGATTTAAGGATCATGGGTCATAAATGAGAAGTGCAAAGGCCAGTTGCCTTTCAGATATAAATGCAAGCTTAACTTACCAATATTGGGTTGTTTTTGTTTTTGTTTTTTTAGTTTTTATTTATTTATCCATTTAAGTAATCTCTACACCCATTGTGAGGCTCAAACTCACAACCCCGAGACCAAGAGTTGCATGCTTTTCCAACTGAGCCAGCTGGGTGACCCTAGGTTTTTTTATTTTTATTTTTGTTTTTGTTTTTGTCTTTAAATAATCTCTACACCCAACATGGAGCTTGAACTCCTAACTCCGAGATCAAGAGTTGCATGCTCTACCAACTGAGCCAGCCAGGCACCCCTAGATACTGTTTTTTTAAATGATCAGACCTGCAAAGATTGGAGGTTTTTTGGGGTTTTTTCTGTAGATTTACACACAGTGCTGTGGTCTTCTGACTATCTGTTTACTTTAACTTCTGTGGCTCTGAGTTGGAGAGGACATGAACATCCAGATGTTTTTAAAATTCCTTAGGGCCCTTTTTACTGAAGTAATAGAATTTGTTCTTAGATCAGATTCTTGATTCAAATGATGTCTCCAGATTTCTGTAAAATGACATTTCAGTCAACAAAAGAAACCTCTCTTTCTAGAAAAAAGATAAATTAATACATTGATATTGATATACGAATCTTTCAGTATTTAGATAATTAGTATAAAATTCCTTGTAAGTTATTCAGCTAATCAGTTTACTGTTGGAAAAAAAAAAAGACATCTACTTTTAAATGGCTAAAATAGTCATCAAAATTACTTAGCTCTTTTTAAAACATATTATACCTATAACTATTACATTGATATTTTCTGAAAAAAACCTACATTTGACATGTGAGTAGTTTTGATTCCCTTTGTATATAACTTATCATGAAAACATGTTAAGGTTGTATTCGTTTCTCTGGATGATTCTTATTTTCAAAGAATTTATTTCTAAGTATTGTTCTTACTAATAGACCTTCCTGGTTTGGGATATATATTAACTTTATTTATTTATTTATTTATTTATTTATTTATTTATTTATTGAGAGAGAATGTGTGTGCATGTGCACATGGGGTGGGGGAGGGCAGAGGGAGAGGGAGAGAGAATCTTAAGCAGGCTCCACATCCAGTGTGGAACCCCATGAAGGGCTCTATTTCACCACCCTGGGATCATGACCTGAGCCAAAATCAAGAGTCAGATGCTTAACTGACTGGGCCACCCAGGCACCCCTATATTATTACTTTAAAGGAGGTGATACTCTGCATTATACAAATGTTTAGATTTTCTCTGGTCAAATAGGAAAGTGGGACATGTGTCATGGTATTCTTTTGGATTACTTTGGAAGACTACAGATGTCTCAAAACTTGAAAGGATATGATATTAAATGTTAGAATATTCTTTCTTCTAATGGACCCTCTAAATATTTTCTTCATTTATCTTTTTGTTATACTTCACAGAGAATACACTTGTAGCTTTTCCGGTTTATGTAGTCTTCCTGCCTTTACAAATATTGCCAGGTGTTTCACAATGGACTAAGATTATGTATGAATTCATTTTGGAAATTTTGTTAGCTACTTTACTTGAGTATGAGAAGATGAAGAAAACAGTAGCTTAGACCCCACAGAAATGGCTGTTTTTTCTCTCTTTGTGTATACCAACACTCTTAGAACAATAGAAGAGTATCTACTGTACCTCTACAAAACAAGTGAAAAACTCATGGGATTGCATGTGAAGAACTTCACGACTAAATTACTTGAGGAATCCAAAGAACAGTGTAGGTAGCATTCTCAGGAGATTCACAAGGGAATCGTTTACCAATGTCCAGCAAAATTCACAAGCTTTTACATTCTATATCCCCATGACTTTGTTAGCTCCATTCCCTTCACCCCAAATACCTTTCTTCGCCTTCTCTGACTGGCAAAGACCTATGTGGTCTTCTGAGTCTCAGCTCAAGCATTACTGGCTGCAGAAAGCTACCCTCAACCTTCTTCTGTCCTTGCATGATACTCCATGCCTGTTGAGATTACAGCACTTACCACACTGTATTATGGTTGTTGTTTTACTTTTCTCCTACCCCCACTAGTCATTAAACTCCTTGAAGACAGAAACTGCTTCTTTCTCATCTTTGTTTCCTCTAGACCTAGCATAGTCCCTGGCACCTGGTCATTGCTAATAAATGTTTGATAAGTAAATAAGTATAAGAATGAATGATTTTATTAAAGATATCAACTTGAGAACATTTATGCAGTCGTTTCTCATTATTTGTGGAATCCATATTTGTGAATCACCTACTCACTGAAATAGATTTAACCCCAAAGTCAATACTCTTGGCACTTCACATTCATAAACATGCAGAATGGGGCAAAAAATTGGAGTCACCTGATACATGTGTTCTCAGTTGAGGTCAATAAGGCAACACTCTGCCTTCTTACTTCAGCTCATACTATAAACAAGTGTCCTTTTCATGGTGATTGCATAGTGCTGAAGTGCTGGCTAATATTTCTAAATGCAGGAAGGCCATGGTGTGCATTATGGAGGGACTAGGTATGCTAGATGAGCTCCATTCAGGCACAAGTTCTAATGCTCCTGGCCATGGCTCTTGGCCATGGAGATTATATTAAGGGGTGATACCCAAAAAGTATGGGCTTCTCTTGGGGTGAAAAAATGTTCTAAAACTGGTTACACAGCTTTGCAGATATACTAAAAACCATCGAATTGGACAGTTTAAAGAAGTGAATTTTATGGTGTGGGATTTTTATCTCAAAATTTTTAGCAAAACACACACACACGCACATGCATGCACACCCAGATTGCAGGACCCTACCCCCAGAGTTTGTGATTCAGTAGCTCTGGGATGCAGTCCAATAATTTGCCTTCCTGACTAGTTCCCCACTGAGACTGCTATGTTGGTGTGGGGACCACATTTTAAGAACCATTGCCTTAGGAAGCCTAGAGAAATAGACTCGCAAAATGGGCAGAGAAGATATGAGTAAACACTAGCCAGACCACAACCAAAGGGTGCCACAGGAAGAGAATATTGAATGTTCAGCTACCACTGACACTGAGCGCTGGGTACCATGCTTGTACAACCCCTGCCTAGAACCCTGCCTACTGACACTCCTGCCCCTGGAAGTAATTTTGCTCCTTAAAATTACTTAATCTATCACATATGACAGTGTTTCCAAGCACTGTAACATTTTCAATTGTGTTTGGGTTAGAGTTACATTGTATTTAAAAACCTACTGAAATACACTGATAACTACCTTTATGTTTTTAGATTATACTGAATACAGATTGGTTGGAAAGCAATTACTTAACCTTCTTCTTTTCTCTTTCCTATTTAGCTACTTTTCCAGGTATGTGGGAGAGAACAATAACAATAGGAAGTGCTGGAAAGACTTTCAGTGTAACTGGCTGGAAGGTAAGGTGCAGAAGAATGAAATTGCTTAAAAATGAGCATGTATTTTATTTCTCGTAGAGTTTCTGTATATGTGTGTTTTAAATGCATATATATTCAGTTTACACAGGTTTTTATACTAACTGATCTTTTCTTTATTTTTACTCATTCAGCTTTCATGTTGGCCTTTATCCTTTTTGAGACCTGATTGTTTCTTTATTATTTTAAAGTCTTTATTTAAATTCCAGTTAGTTAACATAAAGTGTATTATTGGTTTCAGGTGTACAGTACAGTTATTCAGCACAAATCCAGTGCTCCTCACAAGTGCCCACCTTAATCCTCACCTATTTCCCTCATTCCTCCACCTGCCTCCCCTCTGGTAACCATCCGTTTGTTCTCTATATATACTTAAGAGTCTGTTTCTTGGTTTGCCTCCCTCTCGCTTTTTTTTCCTTTGCTCATTTGTTTTGTTTCTTAAGTTCCACAGATGAGTGAAATCGTATGGTATTTGTCTTTCTCTGACTAACTTATTTCGCTTAGCATAATACCGTCTGGCTCCATCCATGTCATTGTAAATGGCAGAAAAAATAGGTAATTTTTCATTTTATAAGTCATGAACTAATGGCACTTTTTTTTTTTGCAAAAAATGTTCAGATTATTGTATATTAATATAAAAGGAGGAAGAAAATAATATAATAACTAATATTTTGGCACTTACTATGTGCCAAGTTCTAAGTGCTTTACACATCCTCATTCTCATAATGGCATTATGAGATGAGTATAATTTATCATCCCCATTCTACAGGCAATAAAACTAGTGCAGAGAAGTAAGTTGCCTGAGGTTATACTGCTAATAAAGTCAAGCCAGTGCAGGCAGTCTAGCTTCAGAATCCATGTACTTAAGCACTGCACTATGTAATACAACAGCGATTTACCCAGTTGAAATTTGGTCATCTTCCAACTGGCCTCTCCTGAACATGGCCAAGAAGCAGGGAGTATCAAAAATGGGGCCTGCAGAACCAGCTTATGGAAGAGTCCCTTAGGCCCTCATTCAGAGTTACTTTTACCTAATTCAGATAACCTTTGTTACCAGTTTTTAGACCTTCAGAATATCAGAAGTAGCAAATTAGAAAAGAAAAGGATAATAGCGACTAAGGGTACTGTTTACCTTCTGAAGGCAGAGTTTAGTGACTCCAGTGGGAAACTTTCTCACAAAAGAACAGTGTTGAAATGATGAGTAAATACTAATACTGCACTACTTTCATAGTATGAACATTTTAGAGTTGCATATATTTAATAATTACATTAAGCTGAGCTACTCTATCGGATTTGGTACATACAATTAGATTTGTTTTTTGAAATCTGCTTTTTATCTTTTCCTTTTCCAGCTTGGCTGGTCCATTGGTCCTCATCATTTGATAAAACATTTACAGACAGTTCAACAAAACACCATTTATACTTGTGCAACTCCTTTACAGGTAGGTATTAATAGTAAATTGGGGTTGAAGTCTTTTGGTAAAGGTGTTATTTTTAGGCTGTGTATTCGGGTTGGCTTAGTTCTACCTGTGATGCCCTTTTTGAGCCGGGCCTCTAGTAGTGTTTGAGAATTCAGGAGCAGACAGATACTCATTACTGTCAAGAACAGCTTTTTTCTGTTTATTTAAATACATCAAGTTTTAACTCTGAATACTCATACGTTGCTGGAGGGATTGCAAAGTACTGCAGACTCTGTGAAGGACAGTGACAACACCAAGCAAAATTATAGATGTGCGTGCATTACAAAGCAGCAATCTGTCTTCTGGGGATTTACCCTATAGTTATTATCTGTACACATAAGAAGCTCTGTATGTGTATGGCCATTTATTGCAGAAGATAGGGGATAGTCATTATCCATCTTTAGAATTAATTAAACAAACTATGGTTTATCCAAACATTTAAATATTATATGAGTTTTGTATTAGTTTCCTATTTCTCTGTAACAAATGGCCACAAACTTGGTGGCTTAAAACAACACAAATTTTTTTATCTTACAGTTCTGGAGGTCAACAATCTGAAATGGGTCTTATGGCTAAAAACAGGGTGTCTGCATTCTGGTATTCCTTCTGAAGGCTGTAAGGGAGACTTCGTTCCTTGTCTTTTCCATCTTCTAGGGACTGCTCACATTCCTTGGCTTATGGTCACATCACTCTAACATGACTCTGACTCTCCTGTTACCTTCTTTCCCTTATAAGGATCTTTATGATTGTGTTAGGCGCACAGAAAATCCAAGATAATCTCTTCATCTCAAGATCCTTAATTTAAACCACATTTGCAAAGTTCATTTTACCATGCAAGGTAACATGTTTACAGGTTCTGGGTTTGTTTGTTTTTTTTTAAGATTTTTAAATTTATTCATCTGAGAGAGAGAGATAGAACAAGAGCACAATCAGGCGGTAGGTTCAAAGGGTGGGGAGCCTGATGCAGGGCTTCATCCCAGGACCCTGCGATCATGACCTGAGCTGAAGGACTGAGCCACCCAGGTGCCCCTACAAGTTCTGGGTTTTAAGACCTGGACACCTTTGGGGGCCATTCTGACTGTCACCATGGCTATTTAAAAATGAAAAGAAAGGAAAAGAATGAGGAAGTTCTATAATGATCAATATGGAAAAGTTTCCAGAATATACTGTAAAGTAAAAAAAGCAAGATGCAGGGCAGTGTATATTTATGCTATATCCTGTATAAGACAGGGGGAAACCATTCGCTTGTATTTTCTTAAAGGATTTCTGGAAGGATCCATAAGGAACTAGTAAAAGTGGCCAATTGCAGGGGCGCCTGGGTGGCTCAGTCGTTAAGGATCTGCCTTCGGCTCAGGTTGTGATCCCAGGGTCCTGGGATCGAGCCCCGCGTCCTGCATTGGGGCTCCCTGCTCCGCGGGAAGCCTGCTTCTCCCTCTCCCACTCCCCCTGCTTATGCCCCTGCTCTCGCTATCTGTCTGTCAAATAAATAAATAAAATCTTAAAAAAAAAAGGTGCCAATTGTAGAGGTATGAGGAATAGGTGAAATGAATAGATAGGGATGGGTGAGTGCAAGCCTTTTTAATGTATATCTTTTTATATTGTTTCTGATTTTTTTTTAAATATATATTTATAAAACAGGGATCTATGTATCATCATTCTGTGAATCAGAACACTGAAAAATTTTCTTTATCTGGAAGGCAGTTAAAAAGCCAAAAGAGTGAAATATATTGGTTACAGTAAATTTACTTTTTTGCTTCCTGTCAAAAAGATCTACTGAATGAGAAAAAAATTTTATTTTAAAATTCTTTCTCCAGTGACTCTCTAAAGCAGTGTCATAATAAAGACTAATTTTGACTTTTGGTTTTATATAATATTAAATTCATTTTATCCACTCAAAATAAATCCATTCACTTATTCAACAAATATTTACTGAGTATTGGAGATACAGCAGGAATTTCTTTCTGAAAAGCTCTTTTTGAGCTTACGGCCTAGTGGGGGCACAGATAATAAAGAAGTAAATATTTTAATAATATGTCAGGTGTTCATAGATGCAATAGAGAAAAATAAAGCAGGGAAGACGAAAGATATAAAGTGCTAAGAGGTAGAACATACAATGTTAAGTGGAGTAATCTTTGAAAGCCTCCCTGAGAAAATGACATTTGAGCTATGAATTGAAGCTTAAGTAGTCACATGGGTTACCTAGAGAAGAACCTTCCAGACTTTGAGAAAAACAAGTGCAAAGGCCCTGGGGTAGGCAGTCTGGCTGTCATGTTTGTATCCGTGAAAAGCACAGGAGTGGGATGGGATGATCAAAGGACAAGAGTAGGAAGAAATAGATCAAGGGGTAGCCGGGAGCCAGATCAAATAAGGCCATGTTCATCACTGTAAAAGCTGAGTGAGATAGGAAGCCACTGGAGAGTTTGAGCACAAGGGTGACATGATCTAACTTATATTATCAAAGGGACCTGGCTGCTTTATTGAGTCAAAAGACTGTTGAAGTGATCCAGGAGAGAGACAGCAGTTGAATGAACCAATATAGGGATGGTAAAATGGTGGAACATGATTGGGTTCTGAATATATTTTGAAGGCAGAGCTGACAGCATTTGCCATTGGGTCACGTGTGGGGCATGAAAAAAAGAGAGAAGTCCGGTATAAGACTACAGTTAGGAGAGATGATTATGTCTCTTGAGCTTTGACTTTTCTAGGGCATATCTCCTGCTATGGGGAGTGAATAAGTTGCTGAGAACAAGAAAGATGCAGCTAAGAATCTGGAACATCTTTTCCTGACCCCTCTGGTCCTCCATTTCAACCAAGTGCCTGGATTTTTCCATGCACTCAGACAACCATGTTTGGAAACTGGCCCATGCTTCCAGGGGAACCCCAGATTCCTAGGCTGATGCACCTTGATCCTTATTTATCCAAGATTTTGTTAGTATTGGGAAATTATGATTAATTCTTTTTTCCTGCTGGTTTCTTTTGGCATGCAGTCTTCTCAGTGATCTTACCCTTCTCTGTCTCTCCATGTCATCTCTTGCCATGCTCTCTTGCTACTCTTGAGCCACACCAGACTCAGTTCTACCAACAGAACAAACTATATCTTGCCTTTTTCGTGTATTTGTTTCCTCATCCCTCCCACATACCCCCTCCAGTACACACCAACTGGAATCTCTATAAAGGCAAGGACCATGTTTATCTTATTTACCATTATACCCCCAGTGTTTTATCACAATGCCAATATTTAACATTAGTATTCAGTATATGCTTACTGAATGAATGTTTATCCTTTAATTCTTAATACCTCTTGGTTCTGATTAATTTCCTTAAAATTTGGCCACTTTGCCCTGCTATCTCAACTATTCCAGGTTCTTGATTATTTGCTTACCTTTCCTTCTTTGCTCTGAGAAACCGGTATTTTTAAGTTGTTTCAGTTCACACTGACCTACCAATCTTCTGCCCTCCTGCTTGTACAGATCCTTGCTCTTTATGTGTGTCCTGATTCAGACTTGTTTATCTTCTCCTGACCTGTTGCCTCCTGAGACATCTATATGACCTTTAACAACATTGGTTTTTTTCCCTTCTCCCAGTTTCTCTCCTGTCACTTCTGGCTTTCTTGAGGAATGGTACAGAAGTGACTCCACATACCCCGGACACTCTTTTCTAATCCCTGTGGCACTTAGACACTTCTGGGATACAAATGATTAGAACAGGGATTAGAATTCAGATTAGAATGATTGCGTATCTATGGGGAGTGATACAGTGGGTCAGCTTTCATTTCCACTACATCCTCCAAGGTAATGGAAAAAGGCTGGCTAGTTCATCATTTCTCTGGTCATTTTTCAGACTTAGATCTAGCAAGTCATTCTACCGCTCCCCTCAATGGAAAATGTCTTTTCATTCCCAAGTAAGCCATCTTTATACAATACCTCTTCTTTAATTTGGATCTTCATGGCTCATTCTCAGTTCTTCACATAAGATTTAATCATTTACATGTAACTGATTCCTCCATTAATTGATACAGTCTAATATAAGTTCACAGGAATTCAACTGTAATTCCCTGAATAACTTTTTTTTTTTTGCCAATAATGTGACTCAGGCAATTTTTATTATACCAATAAATTCAGCAATAAATAACATTACCGTATTTCCTTTCCACATGTTTCAATCTTAACATGCAGGAAGCCTTGGCTCAAGCTTTTTGGATTGACATCAAGCGCATGGATGACCCAGAGTGTTACTTTAATTCTTTGCCAAAGGAGTTAGAAGTAAAAAGAGATCGGATGGTACATTTACTTGAAAGTCTTGGTCTAAAACCCATAGTTCCTGATGGGGGATACTTCATAATTGCTGATGTGTCTTTGCTAGGTTTGTAAGGGTTTTTATTATTTCAAATATATGGAAACTTATGTGTGAAATTGTATTAGAATTAGGGAGTAAAGATTGATGTCAAAACTATGTCAGCATTTTGTCTATGGAAAAATGGCTTTTCGGAATGTCAGTGCTTTTTTGTTTTGTTTTGTTTTTTCAATAATCATCTTGAGTTTTAGATCCCTGAATCTTAAATGTGACTGTTAACATGGTTATAGAGTCAGTTCTTTTAGGTATTCCATTAAACACAGAATTTCCTATCATCTTGTTCTAGTGTGGAATTTAAAACACAAGTACATGAAATAATATATGAACCCAGTGTTCCTCTGATTAAAATTTTAGTTTCCTTTTTACTTAAGAAAAATAAGATTTCTAGAACGTTGGTGCTATCAGGGAATGTTTGCTATTTTAGAATATACTGAAATGAAGTAAAGAAGGAAAATAATATTTATTGGGAGTCTGCTACATGCCTAGCACTTTCAAATACCCTTTTGAAGAAAGCATTGTTAGCTCCACTTTTAAAGATGTGAAGACTTAGAAAATTTTAAATAACTTGTCTAAAATCACATAGCTAGATTCCAAATAGTTTGGTCTCCCAAAAGCGATGGTCTTTATATTACCTGAAGCTGTTTTATGTACTTCTGACATGCCATACTAGTCTAAGATTAGAAGCATGATAACATTTTATATATAACCGATTTTCTTAAAAAAAAAAAAACTATAATGTTAATAATAGTACATTTAAAAGCATAATTTATTCTGACAGAAGTTGGCCGAATAGTTTGTTTTAAGGTTCTATTACAATAAAGTTATATTCCACTGAACTTGCAAAGCCTTTTATATATACCAAATTTTATAAGGCTGGAAACTTTTGATTTTATAACCAAACGGTGACTGTTATTTCTTCATTTGTTGTGAGAGAAGCAGAAGCCATGATGCCGAGATTTTTGCTGTCCTAGTGCCTGAAAGCTGTATATGTTTGGCTCTTCTAAGCTCCATTCTTATATAAAATCCCTTAAGATGTCCTATACTCTGAGGTTTAGAAATCACTTTTCCTATGTTACGTCTAAATGTATAGCTCATTTCATGAAATGATACAAAGAAATAGCTGTTTTCATCACCTTTAGTTTTGCCTTTGAATTGGAAATCTCTAATATTTTCAATGTGAATTTTTTAATTTATTATTTATTTTATA